CAGCGGCCTCCTCATCATCGCCATGGTGAAGGTCAACCAGTCTCTCTCCATCCTGGCAGCCCAGAAGTGACCCCGTCCAGGCCGCACACGGCCTGGGCCGCAGGGGACCCGGGGAGCCCCCCAGGCTGTGCCCTGCGCGTCCACCCCTGCCTTCTCCTCCTGCCTTCCCACCCTCCCCTCCACTCCCTCCTGCCTTCCATCGCATGGGTGGCCTTCGGTACGTCTTTTCCAGCTTAAGAATGTACGGTGGCTCCCAGGTGCCACAGAGAGCACAAGGCCAGCCAGTCACGACTCTGCATTCCCCGTCCCTACTCGGCTGACTCGGACCCACTTCCTGCTGCGCCACCAACTACCCCACGAACTAGGATGACTCTGGCCTCCGTGCCGACGTTCCCACGGTTGGTTCGGCGTCTCGCCTGTCCTGCCCAGGAAGCTGTCTTTGGCAAACCTCGGTTTCGTCTTCAAATTTTATAATGAAAATAGCCATGGCTCCCGTGTATAGAGCACATTTAGAATAGCTCTTGTTTTGAAGTCACTAAGTGCCATATACATTTTTATTCCAATAGTAACAAAAATATAAAAAGTAACAGGAGAAAGAGCGTTGCGACCTTGGAAGCCGGTGGTGCCCTCGTGCGGGTTAGGGATCCGAGAGGTGGGCATCTAGAATCTGCACTGACACCTGCCACTTCCAACTGGGGAGCCCTGATGTATCCCACGCCTTCCAGGCTCTTGTCTGTGGGGAGTCCTTCTTAGGGGGCGCAGCACACCATCCTCAATGCCTCTCCCTTCCGGGGTCTCAGGAGTCCTCCTAGTCTTTTAAGAAAGTCCCAGTTGTGATGGTGTACTACCTTCCTGCAAGACGTCACCATTGGGGGAATTAGGTAAAGGGTACATAGGCTCTCTCTGTATTATTTCTTACAACTACATGTAAATCTGCAATTTTAACAAATAATAATAAAAAAAAAAAAAGAACATCCTCACCAGGACTGACAGAGGCTCCTTTGCACTTGGTTTCCAAGCACCTGCATTTGGAGTTAAAATACACAGAAACTCAGACTGCCCAAACAGCCCCTACTGGGGAAAGGCCATATCCTTCTAGAAGATGTAGTGCCTAGGGAGGCCCAGACCTACTGCCCCATGCATTATTAACCATGACCTTCATTCACTTGAAATGAATGCCCTCCTTCTGTCAACAGAGATTGGTATATTTTGATCAAATCCCACACCTGCCTGCTTCTCACAGAACTTCAGGCATGGGGACGAGCACGGAATAATGGGCACTTAAGCGTGATGGAGTTAGACGCCGAGGAAAAATGTTTTTGTGAATAATGGCTGCCTGGGAGCAGAGAGCCCTCATCAGTTCTTAATAAATCACTCTGCTAATGAGTGTCTAGTGCTTGCACTGTTTTCGCTTTTCCTCTCATGGGCCAGTGACTCACATCTGGACAGGTACACCTGGATCGTGCTCCCACGCCCCTCACCTGGAACTCAGACCGCCTGGTGAAGATCAATGGGAAGGGGATGGAGGGCAGAGATGACTGAGACTCAACGCCTGCCTTCAAGGGGCTTTCTTCCATCCTCCTGCCGCTCCCCCTCCCTGCCCCCTCCCCACACTATCCGGGGCTTCCTTCCTCACGGTGAAGAACCTAATACATGCAGATTTAACGCAACATAGAATATTAATAAAATCTAATTCTTGTGACTTATTGAAATGATGCCAGGCCCTCCTCGCTCCAAATCGACAATTCATCCAAAATTTCTCATTTCAAAACTTCTTGGGGGTGGGGGGAGTAGACTATAAACTGCATTTTTTCTATTGCTAACTGGCAGAACAGGCTGGTGCACGAGCATATCCAGTGCCCTCTGGATTAGCCTCGCGTTTGAGGGAGTGTGAATTACGTGCCATCCTTGCAAAGAAACTGTTTGAACCAAGCTCAGCTGCCCTGTACCTCACCAGCCACCGCCTTTTCACGCAGGCGTTAGAGAAAGGGCAAAGCCAGATCAGAAGGGCACAGAGGTGGCCACTGCAGCCCGTCAGTCCCCAGAGGGGAGGCTTGCCAGGCCGGAACTCTTTTCGTAATAACACTAAGAGGCGACTTGCCTTTTTCACTCTGCTTCTCTTACTAGCATATGCAGAACGTGTCTGACCTTATGTGACATGGGGTGTCATAACAGACTGACTGCAGAAGCCATCTGCGAATGTGGCCGTCTTCGAGTAAGCCGGCCATTAAAGAGATCTGCAAGAATGTGAAGCAATGCCGCTTTTCTCGATAATTCTTTTTGGAAGATATAATCATTTCTCATAAAAATACGTTATTTTGTTAACATGCAATGAGCTTATTGTGATTTTTAAATAAATGAATTTACATTAAATATTCTTAGTTTTCGTTTCTAAGATAATAAATATTAGTAGATACAACCCATATAAACCGAATCTCTTTGGAGTTCTTCCTATGTATTAAGTTTGTAGAAGGATTCTGAGACCACCCAGCGTAACCAGAGACAGGGTCTCTCTGTTCTTCCCACACTGTGCCCTGCGACATCCAAAGGCCTCCCCTGGGTTCCACTGGATTCCCGCCTGGCATGAGGAGAACTTTACTTTCCCAATATCTTCGGGCTCCTGGTTCTCCCTCCCACAGATGGAATGGTACGTAAATTATTTTCCTACCCACAGGTGCTTTCTGGGATCTTGGTTGTGGCAATTCAAATGCAGGACTCGGCTTCCTCCTGGATTATTCCCACTCATGTAAGGCACGTGCTCATCGCCAGCTTTCTTAAAGGCTCTGGGAGGTGGGGAGGGGACGGGTATAGATGCAAAGCAAACGGCTCTCAACTGAATGTGGGACGAAGTGAGAGGTTCATCGCAAGGCTTGTGCCTCCTTTCTTAGCTGCAGCGTTTAGGGGGACTTAGAGACAATGGGATCTCCCATAATTTCTATCATCTCGCACCAAGCTCCCTTGCTCCTGATAGCCATGAAATCAAAAACAGGGGCGTGCTAAGCACCCGCAGCTTCAAGACGTGCCTCCTCCCCCCACGCCCAATGGGATAGCGGCACTGAGCCCTCCGCTAATAATGCTGGGGCCTCTGCTACCCGACTCCCCTTCGATGCCTCGTATTCAAACACAAACCCATGATCTCTGAGGGTCAGGACTTCTTTAAAGATCCTCCCGTGCGTTCCCGCTTTCTAATCTGGTGCTGAGTGACAATCTGCATCGACATCTCTTCTGATGAATGACTCACCAGACCGGAAGGTAGCCACTTCCATTCTGGGATATATTTAGTGAATCACTCCCTATACGAGCATCTGTCATCTGTAACTGTAATAAGAGCGAACATTTGTTGAGCACCTGTAGGCCAGGATCTGACCTAAGCTTTTATACGTGCGGCTCATTTAGCCCTCACGACATCCTTTCGGTTCTTATTGCTGTCTCTGCTTCATGATGAGGCCACCGATGATGAGGCACAGGGCAGGGATGTAACTTGCCGCAGGTCAGAAGATAGTAAATGGCAGAGCTGGGATCCAAACCCAGCCAGCATAGCCTCAGTCTCTAGTCTCTAACCACTGTGCTTCCCGCCCGTCCGTCTCTGCCCCTTATCAAACATGGAAAATGCTGAGCAGGGCGAGGTCAGGGCTGGGAGGCTTTTGGGTGCCTCCATGGACCTCCGCACAGAGCCCAGGCTCTCCGGTGGTTCCCCAGAGCCATACCTCTGAAGAGTCAACAGACATGGGTGAGGCCCAAAGATACGTGTCCGAAAAAGCCCTGCAAAGGTTCTGATGTGGGCACTGCCAAGATGGACAGCAACACGTGACCAGCTACAAGCCGCCTGAATCCACGATCTCCCCACCCACAGCCCATCGAATGCCTGGCGGGAGCCCAGGCAAGCCACGGCCACAGCAAGCCCTGAACTCGCCACTCTATTAAAAAGTGGAACAGAAGAGAGTCTGGTCTGACGTGACTGTTTCTCAGGGGGCCCACACTTCCCAGTCACCCCTGCTTTCTCTTCCAAGTGTTCCCAGACCACTGGTTTAATGGTCCTCTCTAGAATTTGCCCAGGAGCTGACAGCAGCACGCTCCTTTATATGCAGCTTTAGAGTCTTCTTTCACTATCATGAATAAAAATCAGGCCACGTGACACCTTCTTGGTATTTAAGTAATATTTCTACGACTTTGTATTTAAGTAATATTTCTACGACCACACAAGTGTTCCTAGAAACATCTATACACGTGTCGTTAAACACCGTTTTATAAGCCGTCTGTTGGTTCTTTCCAATTGAAATTCCCAGGGGCGCCGGCCAGAACCAGCGAGAGCTCTCCAAGGACGTCTCGACTCGATGTGAGCCTCTTAGCCATGCTGGACCATCACGCTGGTTCTGGGTTCTCACCCCTCGCGGGGAAGGTGGGAGCAAAACCAAACAGAAGTGGTGTTCCTCGTCCCTCCAAGAGATCATTTTCCCCAAGCTGCCTCAACCATCCC